ACAAAAAAAAACAACCAAGATGAGAATAGTTTTTAAAACATCAATTGAATATTCAGAAAATCGTATATGAAATCTCTTAGAAGACAGCAATGAAGAAAAACGTTGAATAATAACAACATTTCATCACAAAATCTCTGCCATTAAAATCAATGAAGATGACAATTGTCAACAACATTTATATTAGCAACATCTCATCCCAGATCTTTGATAAAGAAAAAGAGAGAGGTGGTGGTCAGTGATAACGTTTATTGAATATTAATGACATCGCATATCAAAATCCCAACAAATTAGCAGTGAAAATGTGGACTGTTAAAATGATTCATTGCATATTAATAACTGATTTCAAATTCTCAAATGAAAGTAATGAAAACAGAGGGAGTCCTAAACATTCATCGAATATTATCAACACATCACAAATTCTTTGACAAATCAACAATGAAGATATTTATTTAATATTAATAACACATCACAAAGTATCAATTCTTATCTTTTGTCTTTTCAATTCCTGTTTTTTTATTGTTCTCTCTCCTTTATAGTATTTATTTTCTCGTATTCTCTACCACTGAGTAACACTTTGCGTCTTAGTGGCTTTATTGCTTTGCTTGGGGTGAAATGATTAAAAAAATAAGCAGAAAAATGGAAATTACTTGTAAGTCTTTTGAAACAAGTCTTGAAATGACCATTTTATTGTAAATTTACTGTTTGTTGTTTTGTTGAAACACTTCCAATTATTTCATAATATACCTTCACATGTTTACAGTCATGGCTGTTGTATATGTTTGTGAATAAATCAAATTTGTAATTCCTTTAATGAAATAAATTTTAATCAACTAGAAAGACTGTAAACGATAACAATAATAGTTCCTTGCTAAAAGAAACTTAACGAATTTAAGTACTAAACTGGCAACTATGTCTCATAATTCTGCTATTGAAATTTATTAGTTGTAACTGTAAGTTCTATGTTAATACTCTCTTCATCCACACTTCTGACTTGTGGAACTCTGTTCTGGTTCCCTGCTCTTCTGTCAACCATGATCCTTAAAAATTGAAATTCAATCTTGTTCCTTCTATCTTCTTGAATTCTGTTTTTTTATAGTCTGTTATTTTTTCACTCTCGGTAACCCCTTGCATCCGAGTGGCTTTTATTGCCTTTCTTGGGGTGAAATGGTTAAAAAAAAAGACGTCTGATAAATTAACAATGAAGATGACGATATTTATTTAATATTAACAACATATCTCAAAGTTTCACTGTGAGGGTAAGAAACATCTAAAACATTAATTCAATATTAATAACATTTTGGGAAAACTTTCAGATAGAAAAGCAATGAAAATGACAATAGTTGGATATATTCATTGAATATAAAAAACAGATCTGAAAATATTTGATAAAAGGTGAAACATTTTTATAGATTCACTTCAAAAATATCATTGTCTCAATTATTTAATTTCGCATAAATAGAGAATCAAATATTGGCTCATGGAATTTGTCATCAACAAAGATTTACTGCAAAGCAGATAAATACAATAAACGATGGGATATTTTTCCTACCATCTGAAGATTCTCTTTAGAATAATTCAAGAATCTAATCACTTAAAGAAGAATCATCGATCCTTGCAATAACTGAAGTGACATTTTAATATCATTTTTATGAAGGATACTCGCGGATTTATTTCTATTTTGTCAAGCGGTTTCAATTCCTTTCCGCCCCGAAACCCATGACTCGAAAAAAGCCATTTTTGATAATAGAAGAGAGATCGGCTACAAGAGATTACAGAGTTGACAGTGAAACGAAATAAAAGTGTCTTTCCCGATTAAATTTCATTATCACCAGCTGAAAACAGGCAGTGGTCGTTAAAAATAGAGAAGGAAACAATGAGGTGGCAGTTCTGGATAGCAGTTCTTCAAAATGGAGGCCTTAAGGACTTAAAAAAAAACAGACAGATAAACGTATTCACACACTCATTTGTACATATTTATAAAAGACACACACACACACACATATATATATATATATATATATATAGAGAGAGAGAGAGAGAGAGAGGTAGCATATCTTTTTCAAACGTATTTCATTGAATAATATAGACATTAATGTGTCCACTTATTTTATACTGATCCTTTCCAGTCGTCTAATACCTTTCTTGATGCTAAGAATAAATACATCAAGGAAGGCGCCGTAGTTTTTTTCCTACCCAAGTACTTTCGATCTTTTCTAAGATAATATTCACGGGTAAATTAAAAAGACAAACTTATTTTAAGCGTGATAAAATTTGCATTCCGCTATGATGGAGATTTTTTAAAACTCGCTCTGTTATGGCTGTTTTAGAATTTTTAATCTATTCGTTGCTCTTATGGATTTTTCTTTTTTCTTTTTTTCTTTTTTTTTTTTTTTTGTAAAACAATTATTTCAATACAAGCAGACAGGAAGTTGATAGTAATGCCAAAAGCCATGAAATGTTTGTATTTCAAGTTGCTTCTACACTCGTAATAAATGTTGCTAAGTGTTGGTTGGTTGATTTTGAGGTGCTCGGGAATTTGAAATTTTTGTTCATTATTTTCATGGTATATTTGGTATTGTAATGTTGTGAGATAGAACTGATATACAATGATGGTCTTTTACAAAACCCTTAGTTCACGTAGAAGAGTTGTTGTGTATAATTAAGTTGGTTGGGTTAAATTTCGTATAATATATAATTAGCCTTATTTTTTTTTTTTTTTTTTACTGTGATCATATGTTTATATAAAGTCTAGTTTAGCATCGCCCGAGGAGACATATTTATGGTGTTTAAACATAATTGCATTTATGTAGCGATTTTTAATATGTTTTATTATCCTAAAATAAATTCTCTCTCTCTCTCTCTCTCTCTCTCTCTCTCTCTCTCTCTCTCTATATGTATATATATATATATATATATATATATATATATATATATATATGCTGTACTAATGGCACATAGAGACCCGGTCGATTTGAGAGGAAGGTGATTTCTTGATGTTATTGGTCGGAAAGAAGCAATGCCAGCGTGCGTCACATTTGGAAAGTGCCGGTAAACCATACCACTTATTGACCCAAGCATTGTGTAGATGGAACCTTTAGAGGCCGTCTATAGCTGTGTTAGTATGAAATCAAAAATCATCGTGCTGGCCTTGTTCAGATTGTTGATCACGCTAGATAACACCCTTTTCTCCCAGAAACTGAGGTCTGACCAACTTAGTTGCAGTATAAACTACAAGTGGTCTCTGTGGGTGTTAAAGAAGCATAAAATGCGCCTGAGCAAGCGTCTGCAAATGGGATTAGCTAGCCACCCTAGTAGACGGGTATCCTTGAATACGAGTCGCCAGCCATAAATGTTAATTATTAATCAAGTAGACAAGCCCAAAATACTCTACAGCACCTACATCAAGTCTTAAAACTGTACAAGCAAATATTATACAAAACAAAGAGCCCACATTAAATAAAATATCATTCACCACATGAAGTGCATATGATATCATTCATGTGCCCACATACTTTATTATAATAATAAAAAAAAATTAAATTAAAATTAGATAAATAAATCGAAATCTTTTTATGCGACGTCATTTCTAATAGCCGTTACACATGACGGCACATTAGACCATTTCAAACGTCCGGCTTCCCAAAGAAAATCAAGATGGAGACAGTAAAAGCCTAACTACCACACAGACACCACATCGGTTCGTGATAATGACTGCGAAAGTCGAAACTACTTGGACAAAAATAATAAAATAGGAACTTCGAGCGCAATATGCAACACCTTATCAGAAAATTGGAGACCTTTCCGGTTTTTTAATCAAATTTGTTTATATATATATATATATATATATATATATATATAAAAAAAACCTTTGGTGTAACCAACCAACGGACAAAACCTAAAACTCTTATCCAGATAAAGTCTCGGTTAAAAACGACAATACTGAAAAAAAAAGAAAAAGAAAAAATGAAAAAGAAATGGCTAAAAGCCAACTTACCTACTCAGTAAAGTAATGTGCTCGAAGCCTATATTGCCTAGACCTAGCCAAAAAAAAAAAAAAGCTTAACAACGTTAAATCCTATGAAAGGACGGCTCTAGTAGTGACACGAGTTTCATGCTCACGCGATCTTCAGACGACTTGAACGGAAATGAAAGAATGAAGAGGCGGCTTTTATATAAGCTGTGAATCGCTCTAAAGCATCACAGTATTAATGTTGGCCGCTTTCCACATTTTACCATTTATTAGCATTTAACGTTGGGTTACGGCGAAATGGTTCTTTAAGATTTTAAACGTTAAAAATAGAATCGTTTTTTCGTGGAAACAAACATGGTAACAACGAGCGAAGCAGCCAACTTTAATAGGAACAGTCGAATTTCTGTAACTGTACGATGTAAAAAATAAGGTTTTCTTATAATTTCAGCCAATCCTCAATATATGCCAGATATATTGACGAGATTTTCATATATATATATATTTGTATACATAAAAAAAACTCTTATGAGGTGACTGCAAGAAACCATTACTCGTCAATCCTCACTGGGCATTCCGCATTTATAATCATCCTGTGCTAGACAATTTCAAGCTGTTGAAATATCTTTTGGGAAAGTGATCTTTAGCCTCATAGAGGATTATTAATAAATTGACCATCAGTTAGAGATAAAGGTAAATTAACGACATATTTCTAGGGACCTGACTGAAACCAATTAGTCTTCCATATCTCTATCGATATCTTCAATTTGAATGATTGATTGATTTTGTTTATCAACCTTTTGTAGGTTATTTCAAACCAGAATGTATATTTTAAATTGTAAGAACTTTTTGGGATAATAATGTTTTTACTTACACAAGTCTTACTAATTAACCCATAACTGGGGGAGAAGAGGTGGAGTCATACTTTTGCCAAGGGTATCTGGGCGTAAGTGAAAAACAACGGGAATTGGAACTCGGCTCTCCAATTTTCAATTCCGAACCATTATCAATTACACCAACCGTATATCTAAGTTTACAGCGACAGGTATTCCCAAGCGGTCACCCATCTAAATATTGACCAAGCTCGACGATGCTTATCTTTGGTGATCGTACGGGAACTGATGTTTCGACATGATGTAGACGTAAGTACCATCAGTTTGAATATTTCTCGGCCCATTACTATTCATGGTTTATAACACTCTACGTTTGAAAATTATTTCCTAGTCTAGAGCTATTCTCACTTTTTAGGCCTTGGGCAATTTATCTCCTAGATACTGTAACTAAGGTCTGTTCAGTATAGTTGCATTATAAACGACTGGGGTAGTGAAAAAAAGTGTGAATAGACAGGTGTCTGCAATAAGGCGTAGCTAGCCACCCTAGGGGACAAACAGCCATTTATATAAAGAAACCTATAAGACGGTTTAGGAGGACTCAGACAATCATTCTTCTGTCTTATGTCCTTGAAGCACCGGTTGGTGTGGGCGTTTGTTACTCTGATTAAATTTCATTCTCTTATTCAGCTATCTCTTTGCGCAAACTCGTTAAGCAGGTAGGTCTCTGTTTCTCCGGGTTTCTCTCAGATTCTAATCTATTCTATATTATCAGTTTGACATGGTCAAAATGGCAACCGTTGTCCAAAACGACATAGTCCGTAGTTAACTGGGGGGAAATGATGGCTTGTTAATTTTAACATCTTCAAAACTAAACGTCTCTCCACCCCTTGCTGCCTTCCATCAGTATGGCTGATGCTATCCCCTAGGAGGCTCACGATCTCAGCTGATATGGTAAGACTGTTGAATCCATTGCTAGATTAGCCGCTAAGAAAGTCGGGCGAGACGATTTTTCTCTCGACAATCTATCTTATATATCTATAAGTCCATTCGTCCATGCTTAGAATATTGCTGCCACATATGGCCCGGTGTCCCTGCTATTTACATTGAGCACCTTCAAGAAAAATCAACAGTATTAAGATCCTGATCTGGCGGCTCTCCCTCAGTCACTTTCTCACCGCCGTAAGGCTGCCTTTCTATGTTTTTTCTGTAAATACTTTCATGGTAATTGTTCAGATGAGCTCTCCGCTATGGTATCTAGAGTTTTTTGAATTTAAACGCAGCACTAGACAGGCATCGAGATTTCATCAATTTACAGTTGAGCCGGCAAAATGTAGCTATAAATTCTATGCTAACAGTTTCTTATCTCTTTTTGCTTGTGGAACTCCGTTCCAGCTCCTTGCTTTCCAACTAAAATCTGCAAAAATTTAAACGCAATGTCAATCGCTATCTGCTGTCCTCCTAATTACTCTCTTTCTACTCATCACTGATGTTTTTGTTCCTAATTTTTCCACACCCTGTAAACTCTTATGTTTTAGTTGCATTACTGCCTTGGTTGGGGTGATTCCGTTTAAAAGAAATGTACTCAGATGGTCACTTTTCGGGGGGGGGTTGTCATTGAAGCACAGGGATAGCGTGAATGACCCTTGCTCACTTTTCTTACACTTTTTAACTTTTATTCTCTTTGATCTTGTTCTGCGATCTCTGAACACAAATTCGTTAAGCAGGTTAATTGTTGTTTCTCCACGTTTTTCTTGCTTTCATTCAACCTTGTAAGTGTCAAATTCTCCTCGCCCTCTTTCATTTGTATGTTTTTCTTATCGTCATTATGAATTGCCTTGTAGTTCCTATTTTCCTGAATACTTCCTCATTGTTTACATGTTCCCACCGTGGTATTCTCAACATTCCTTATAGAACGACATAACTTTCCTTTCACGTCTCTAGATTCGCTTGTTTTAGAAAACCATTAAATGTTCAGATATTTAAGATCATAAACCATATTGACAACCACAGTAAGGCGGTCTCTTCCAGTGGAACTTATGAAATGGATGACATTCTACAAGATCATTTCTTTAATAAGCTTTAATCAATCTGGAACAAGGCAACAGTTCAAAGCCGCTTAAAATTTGATTAAATTGTATCAGCTGACCTGCAGGGGTACATGCCAACTATCGCGCTACGGTAAAAGCCATGAAAAAAAAAAAAAAATATATATATATATATATATATATATATATATATATATATATATATATATTTATATATTGTACATTGAAGTCAACACTCAGGCCGAGATTCAGGCTAGATTGCGTCTAGCATGAAACAATCTGTTGCTTCTTAGTGTTGACTTCAATGCTCACTTTTATATTTACACACGCTCTATTTCTGATGTTGAGCACTTTATCACATAAATATAGCACACCTTCAAACTAGATTTCTTCATTCATATATATATATATATATATATATATATATATATATATATATATATATATATATATATTTCGAAAAATACATCTATTGGATGTGGATATTTGGATGCTCTGGTGTACATTCGGGGCTTTCATCATCATATCCCCTCACCGCGGTGACCCAGTCGATACTGATCGGGTATTAATTTGTGTGCCATCCGTTAGGTACAACTTTCTCCATCTTCCGAATTACACACTGCAACTCCTCTAGGCAAGTTGTAGCCCAATCCCGGATAACTTCCGGTTCGCGCTCTTCCATAAAAAAGGAAGAAAAAGCAACAACATTTTCGTGATGGTAAGGAATATGGTAACTTGAAGTAAATAACGATTTGTATCCCTCACAGATGTGTGTGTATATATATATATATATATATATATATATATATATATATATATGTGTGTGTGCGCGCACACACACACGCAAACGCACACGTGAATCACATTCTGCTTATTCTTATCCCATTTCCATTCCTACTAATCATCCACCCGAAAAAAATAGCCCCTCCCTGTGTCAATTGCGTATACACATATACCGATATAAAAAAATCTACATTATCTACATATACTAACATATATGCATATATAAACATACTCACACACACATACCAACATACACGTCGACAAAGCAGTAACCCTGGTTGTGGGGAAAGGGAATAGTCTTGTTTTTTCTTTGTTTTTTTTTTGTTTTTTTCAAACCTGTCACACCTAATTTTGGCAACGTCTTACATAGTGAGACCGCCCAGCAAAGGTTCTGCATCCGATCGGTTTGTACTGAGCTCGCCAACCACGCTTTTTGCATTCCTGTACAATCAGCAAATATTTCCCAAGTTTCTTTTCGTGGGCTTCATCTGTGTTTTCTCCCCAAGCGACTGTTTATTCTAACATGATGATTTGCTTCTTGATCTTTTCAGAACAAATAATCATGTCTGAACGAATTTTAGTCTGTATTATTTTCACTGGGAATTTTAGCTGCCTGCCTATATCTACTGCCATTGGCCAGTCCGGGAAGAAAAAGCAACAACAGTTTCGTGATGGTAAGGAATATGTTTGAGAAGGAATATTTTCTTCTTCTGTAATGTCTTTACCTTTTCCTCGGTTCTTACAAAATTTATCATCTTATTTCTTTCATATTGGTTTGTTTGAAGACTCCTTGAAAATATTGTTGCAATACATCTTAAAATTTTATCATGGCGCCACTGGCAACCGCGCAATGCTTGTTAGAAGGATCATTTCTTCTGGCACAACAAACAAAGTGGAGACTCACTCATTCCCCACGTGTTGACGTGTGCCAGACTGAGTAATGTAGCATACATTAGTATTCCAGAAATCCGTCCAGGAAATCTACCTTTTTTCTAGGTTTCCCCATTTTATCCAGGCCTCCTGTTGAGTTAAGGCCACCATTTTACTGGCTCTAATTTTCTCCACATTTTCTCTCACTACATATTTCCGATGATTGCTTTTTTTCTCTCCTTCGGGGATCGTAACATTAACCTAGGGAAATTAACGACATATTTCAAGGGACCTGACTGAAACCAATTAGTCTTCCATATCTTTGTCGATATCTTCAATTTGAATGATTGATTGATTTTGTTTATCAAACCAGAATGTATATTTTAAATTGTAAGAACTTTTTGAGATAATAATATTTTTACTTACACAAGTCTTACTAATTAACCCATATCTGGGGGAGAAAAAGTGGAGTCATACTTTTGCCAAGGGTATTTGGGCGTAAGTGAAAAACAACGGGAATTGGATCTCGGCTCTCCAATTTTCAATTTCCAGCTATTATCCATTACACCAACTGTATATCTAAGTTTACAGCGGCAGGTATTCTCAAGCGGTCACCCATCTAAATATTGACCAAGCTCGACGATGCTTACGAGAACTGATGTTTCGACATGATGTAGCCGTAAGCATCATCAGTTTGAATCTTTCTCTATTTTTCTCTAATTTTCTCTACATTTTCTCTCACTTTATATTCAGGACAATATTTCCGATGTTTCTTTTTTTTTCTCTCCTTCGGGGATTTTTAACATTGACCTAGGCCTGATCTGCCCACTGCCAGTCTTCCTGCTAGTCCTGTCTCAACTTTTGTTCTGATGTTCTGAGTTCGTGCGATGATTTCCACTTCCTCCCAGTTGGAACCTCTATTCTCGCTTCTGCGATTTTAGAATCTTTTGAATCTCTACATAGGATTGCCTCCCTTGTTTACGCTACTTTAAACTCCTCAACTAATTCTGTGAAGGGGAGTTGCAATGCGTTCGACATTCATACAGAGCTGCACTGCTCAAACACTTCGGTAAGCCGAGTCATCTTCTCAAATATCCGCTAACCTTATTTCTCCATCTTCTCAATTGTTCTTCATGCTACTTCATATAACGTCAGCGGCCGCAGAAATTTTGGCAAGTCTATTGATATATCCATGACTTAAAACGGCCTGACAACTCTAGCTTGTCCACTTTGCTCAAAATTACTTCAAGGTCTGAAAGATATTTCTGAGTAGCATCCGTATTTTTAAATTAGCATTGAATATTTTACCCAGACACTTAACTGTTTTTTTTTTCTTTTAATGACGACATAATGGTTCCTGCAATGTTGAAATGGAACTTTTCTATCACAATCCCTCTCTTCAGTACTAATGATCTCGATTTTGTCCGTTTAAACTCCATTATTGCCCAAGTATTTATCTTTTCTAAACCCTGTAATATCTACCGACATCTAGCGACAGTAGATATAGTAACTGCCAGGTCGTCCATAGATGCATGTATTGAAGGTTGTCCTACTCCATTTCTCATCCCCAAACCACGACATTCAACTTCTGCTGATTTTACTATCATCTTCA